CCAAATCTAGGGTTGTAGTTACATTGGAGGGAAAGGAGTAGGTTTGAGGCAGGGGCCTTTCATTGCATCCCTAATGTTTTACTTCTTAATCTGGGCAATGAGTAAAAGTGTATTTTGTTTGAGCACTTCTTATAGTTTTTCAAGTGTGTGCACCTGAAATATTACATAAGAATGAAGACTTAACTACTTATTACTATGTAGTACTAACAGCTCATGTTTTTTGTTTTTGTTTTTAGCTCATGTTTATTGTTTTTCACATTCCAGGTATTATGCTAAGCCTTTTATCTGGATTTATTCTTTTTTTAAAAATCTACTGAAGATTTTGTGTGAGGCCCTATCCTAATCTCCAAAAATACATTGAGAGGTCAATGTGAGGCAGGTTAAGATCTCTGTCCACAGCCAGTTTTTAATCTATTAAGGGATGACGAACGATAACAAGCACAACTCAAAACCAACATTAAGTACAGATTCTGAGATAATAAAGCAGGGTGATGTGATTAAGGAAGAGCTACTTTAACTAGGGTGGTCCAGGAAGGCTTGAGAGGGACATTTGAGTTGAACCATAAATGATGAGAATGAGACAACCATACAATTATCTGAAGGAAGCAGATTCCAGACAGAGGGAACAGCAAGTGCAAAGCCCTGCAGCAGGAATAAGCTTGTGCTGAAAGACAAGCCAGCAGGGCTTGAAAGTGGTGACAAGAGGGAGTCTGTTAGATGAGGCCTGCAGAGGTCAACTGAGGTCACCCTGCAGGGCCTCCTAAGCCACAGTAAAGATCTTAGGTTTCATTCTAAGTATGATAAGCCTTTGAAGGTTTTAAGCAGAGTAATGACATGATCTGGTTTACAAATGAGTATTATTCAGCCAGCTATATGCAGCCATTTTCTTTATTAGCACCACCCAGTTGAGCTTTCCCGGGGGCTATGAAAAGGGTGAGACTGGGGATAAAGGAAAACAGTTCCACAATGAAAAATGAAAACTACAAAGTTGGAATGAATAGATGTTTAATTAAATATCTAGAAAATGTAACATTATGGCAACTTCATTCATCATTAAATTTAGTATTCATAAACAATCAAATTACATTTGGAAATAATTTGAAAATTAGATTTTCCTGAGTCACAAAAATTTCCAAATAGGCTCAATGATTGCCAAGAAATCACAGCCATCACAAATGTGAATTTTCTTGCAGCCAAGTAATCTCAAAGGCAAAAAATTTTTTTCATTTTTTAATGCAAAAAAACACTGTTTTAAATTAATGTGAAATGTATGCCATAGCCCATGTGGCTCAATGGTCACAGGTTCCATTCCCACATACCTGGGTTGCAGGTTCAATCCCTGGTTCCAGTTGCCATGCCTGTGGGAAGCAACCAGTCGATGTGTCTCTCACATCCACTACTTACTTTCTTTCACCCTCGCTAAAAATCAATGGAAAAATATCCTCAGGTGAGGATTAACAACAACAAAAAAAAATTGATGTGACATGTAGATACAAAAATATATGTAGCCTTAAGACTCTAGGGGGGGCCCAGAGGTGGCTGGATAAGATATGCTAGTAAGGTGGATCAGTGCTATTCAGGTCTATACTCTGTGTATGAACACTGTCCAGGGCAGCGGACCACGGGTCAGCGACCACTGGTCCAGGGGACCGTGGAAAGGCTTCTCTGAGAAGAGGATATTTAAACAGCAAGACATAAATGACAAGAAGGCACCAACCATCCCAAGAACTAGGAGAAGAGAATCTAGTTAGAAGTTCTGAGGTGGGAGTGCTATGTCAGATTTTTTTTTTTTAATATATTTTATTGATTTTTTACAGAGAGGAAGGGAGAGAGATAGAGAGTTAGAAACATCGATGAGAGAGAAACATCGATCAGCTGCCTCCTGCACATTTCCCACTGGGGATGTGCCCGCAACCCAGGTACATGCCCTTGACCGGAATCGAACCTGGGACCTTTCAGTCCGCAGGCCGACGCTCTATCCACTGAGCCAAACCGGTTTCGGTGCTATGTCAGATTTTTAAGGAACAAAGAGAGGGTCAATTTGGCTGGCCTGAAGTTGGGGCTTGTGGGTTGTAGGAAATAAAGCATGTAGAGTCTTAAAGACAATACAGTAGTGCCCCTTTAGCAGAGGCAGACAGTTCCAAGATCCCCAGAGGATGCCTAAAACTATGAATATATATCCCTAAATATACTGTTATTTCCTATACACACATGCCATTGATAGTTTAATTTCTAAATCAGGCACAGTCAGAAATTAACAATAACTAATAATAAAACAGAATAATTATAACGATTACTTTAATAAATGTTATGTGATTGGGGGGGTCTCTCTGATACGCTAGATCAGTGATTTTCAACATTTTTCATCTCATGGCACACAAACTAAAATTCTGCAGTAGACCAAAAAATATATGTTTTGTTGATCTGACAAAAAAAATATATAGGTATAATTTTGATTCATTTGCATCAGATGACTATTGTTGTGTTGGCTGTTGTCATTTTTTTATTTGACAATCTAAGGGAAAAGCAGTCAGTGCCCCCTGACTAAATAGTCAGGTATTACGTGTTTATTTTTTACATTTTTATTGATTTTAGAGAGAGAGAGTAAAAGAGGAACATCAACGTGAGAATGAAACATTGATCAGTTGGTTGCCTTCCGCACACTCTGACCAGGGATTGAACCTGCAACCTGAGTATGTGCCCTGACAGGCAATCGAACCTATGACCCTTCAGTGCATGGGACGATGCCCAACCAACAGAGCCACACCATCCAGGGGGAGATTTCACTTTTCATCATGATAATCAGAACAGTGCACTATTTAAAACATGAATTGTTTATTTCTGGAATTTTCCATTTCATATTTTCGTACCAAGATTGAGGCAGGTAACTGAAAAGCAAAGCTGTGCATGGGGGCAGTGGAGCCAAAGGGGTGATTGTGTTCTCATCCTGAGAAAAATAGAAAATCACTCGAATTATAAGCAGGAGAGTGATTAATCCAATTTGATCTTTGCTGTCCAATAATACAATAGCCACTTGCCATAAGGGCTCATGAGCAGCTGAATATAGCTACTTCCATTGTTAAACAGAACTTTCCATGTCACTTAATTTTAGTTAACTAACATTTCAATTTAAAAACCAATATGCAATTGAGCTCATGGAACACTTTTCATGGGAAGGCTTGGCATGAGAATTTACATTTTCAACTGTAAATGTTATAAAACTTAAAGCCAGACCAACTATTTCTGATGAAAATGTAGCTGTAGCCCTAACCGGTTTGGCTCAGTGGATAGAGCGTCGGCCTGCGGACTGAAGGGTCCCAGGTTCGATTCCGGTCAAGGGCATGTACCTTGGCTGTGGGCACATCCCCAGTAGGGAGTGTGCAGGAGGCAGCTGATCGATGTTTCTAACACTCTATCCCTCTCCCTTCCTCTCTGTAAAAAAACAATAAAATATATTTTTAAAAAGAAAAGAAAATGTAGCTGTAAAAAGAATGGGAGTTCACAGACCTTGTGCAGAGTAAAATAACGTAAGTTACCTCATTTGTATTTTTTATACCCACCACCTCTGAAATATTTTGGTTATTCTGGATTAAATACAACATTTTTTTAAGTCCTCGGGAGCAATGACCTCTTTTCCCTTAAATTGTCAGGATATTTTTTCCATTGAGTTTTAGAGAGAGTGGAGGGGAAGAGGGAGTGAGAGAGACACATCCATTGATTGTTGCCTCCCGCACAGGCCCCAACCGGGTCGGGGATCCAATCTGCAACGGGGGTACATGCCTCGGACCAGGAATCGAATCCAGGGCCCTTCAGGTGCGCCGACCTACGCTCTAACCACTCATCCACCCACCCACCCACCATGTGTTTTGATGTTTTTTAAACTTTTTAAAAACGTAATTACTAAACAAATTAAGATTAAGTATGTGGCATGAGTTATTTCCATTGGTCGCGTGTGGGAGCAGAGAGCGCGGGTGCGGAGGCGCCAGGAGTCTTCCTGGCAGGGGCAACGGTGGCCCGCATGGCATGGAAATGGAGAGAAGTTTATAGATGTATTATGAAGTCACAAATCAGTGACTTCATAATTGTTTTTGTGATTAATCACTATGCTTAAACATCAATGATGAGACCCTTCACTCCAGCAGAGGCTGGACTCGAACTCCTACTTACAGCGGTGTGCACCTGACACGACTCCCAGCGGCCCACGAGGAGGCGAGGGAGGGATTCGAACTGGGCTGACAGCCAGGTCCCGGGCCCCAGCGCCGCAGTACCGCTGCTCCATGTGCTTTCAGGGGTGAGTCACAACGTTCACAACGGACTCCGCCGCCGCTGGGCCTACGGGGCCAGGAGCCCCTCAGAGAAGCTCCTGGTTAACGCTCACCTGTTGACAGGCGCCGAGGCTGCAAACACCCCTTCTTTCTCTTCACACCCGGCTCCACCGCGCCGGCGGGACGACTTCCGCTCCTTTCTCACGAATCCCAAGCCAAGTCTTCCTCTCCTCCCGCCCCGCGAGACTTCTCAGCCAATAACCTCTCAAAAATTCTGCTTTATCACCGCCCATTCTCACCTGCCAATCCCCGCGGACTCGAGCACCGCCCTTCCCGCCCTCTTAAGCGAGCGCCGCGCGCCACCGCTCGGCAGTTGGCGGCGCTGCTCCCCTTGAGATGCGTCTCCCGGAAGGGTTATGCGAAGGGCGGGCCACGCTGGTGCGGGAACCCTCAGGATTGGCCGACAAGAGCCTGGTGCTCTGACTCCGCCTACCCCCGCCTTCGTTCTCTGAGTCTTGAGACGCTGGGGATTGGTTCCCGGCGGATATCCAAAGAAGCCAAGAGGTGATCCCGCCTCCCTCGCACAGCCCGGAGAGGGAGCTCCGCGGATTGGTCCAGAGAGTCTCGACGCACGCCTCCGGCGCTCCAGGATTGGCTAAGAGGGTGCTCACGCCGCCGGGGAGCGTTTACGGTGATTGGTCGGAGGGTGCGGCCAGCTATTTGAAGGAGGCGCGCGGAGAGTATACGCACTTCAGTCTACGGACCGAGTCGGCGGGAGGCTCTGTGGGCAACGCTGTCCCGCTGATTCTACAGGATCCAGGCGTGGGCTCGGACCCAGCCTCGGCTTCAGTCGCGGCCCGGCGAGGCGATGGCCAAGGTATCGGTGCTGAACGTGGCGGTGCTGGAGAATCCGAGCCCTTTCCACAGCCCTTTCCGGTTCGAGATCAGCTTCGAGTGCAATGAGGCTCTGGCGGACGGTGAGGCTGGGCCTGTGTGGACACTGCCCCCTCCCCCCGGGTCCCGTGGCCTACCCGACTTTCCCGTAGAGACCCTCGCGGCCAACCTCGACCTCCTCTGTGAAATAACCCCCCAATTCCGATCTTACCCCCCTCTTTCCTCTCCAGCTCTAACCTCTGCGTGGAGGCTACCTCTTACCCCCACCCCACCCCACCCCCGACCACGGATACGCACGTTTCCCACGGGGGAGACCTCATCCTCCCATCCTCCCAAACCACACTTTTTCCTGCGGAGCTTCTGGGTTCCCGTTTTCTATATGGAAGCTTCAGCCGCCATTCTTTAACCTGCGGAGACCCTCAGCCACCCCGTCTTCTATTTCTGTATAGAAGATTTTTATATTAACGTTACAGGCACTCAGACTTCTCCACCTAGCTCTTCTTTGGCGAGACACTCCCACCGCACTTTTTTCCTAGGGAGACTCCAGCCCCCAGCCCCCTCCCATTGCCTGTGGAAACCTTAACCTCCTCCCCCAGTTTCCCTGTAAGAGGCCTCTCTCCCAGGCACCTTCCCAACTTTCCCAGTGGAACCCCTCCTATCACCCTTTATCCCTGTGTAGAAAGACCCTCGCCCTGTGACACGACCTCACTCACCCCATCTCCCCGTTTGTCACACAATAATCCCCTCCCCAACCTCTGATACTTAAAATACCCCACCAATTTCTCCGTGTTTTCTATCCCAACACACATGCCCTAGAACAGTGATGGTGAACCTATGACACGCGTGTCAGAGGTGACATGCGGACTCATTTTTTGGGTTGATTTTTCTTTGTTAAATGGCATTTAAATATATAAAATAGATATCAAAAACATAAATGTTTAAAAAAAAAAACAAAAAAAAAAACATAAATCTTTGTTTTACTGCGGTTGCAAATATCAAAAAATTTCTTTATGTGACACAGCACCAGAGTTAAGTTAGGGTTTTTCAAAATGCTGACACGCTGAGCTCAAAAGGTTCACCATCACTGCCCTAGAACCTGGCTTCCCTCCTCCTCCGCCTGGCCCCAATCCTCTCCTTGAGCTCCAACCGGCCTAGGTTCCAGCTCCGGTCTTTGAGGATAACTTAGTCTCCCAGCTCCCATTCTTCACTCTTCCCTGACAGTGGGCTTTAATGAGCACACTCAAATTTGAAGAGTGGGCTAGCCAGGCAAGCATCCAAGCATGTCAAACATATAAAGGAGGCATGTGGTCCGTTGGCCGCGCGTTTGACATGCTTGCACAGTTCCCACTGCGCGCACCAGGTTCCAGCTGACCTACAGCCGCAATTCTTTTAGCACTTTTGTTGGTCTGACCCCAAATCTGGAGGTTAGGTCGGGTAGGGTGGGCCGAACCATGTTGGTATCCAGCTTCAAACAGTCAGCTAGGAGGTCACAGCCCTTTGGGCATCTTTTCCAAGGTACCTTCATAGATGTACTTATTCATCTGTGTGACATAAAGGTAGACATGGCTCTCATCTCACAGATGAGAAGATGGAAGCCACAGAAAATGAAAGACCTTTCAAGGAAAGGTCTATAAAAATCTAAAAATTTAAGGTCACCCAGGAAGTCTTGCCACCACTTTCAGGAGGAAGTACAGGCTTACCTCTGTTTTATTGCACTTCACAGATGTTGCATTTTTTACAAATTGAAGATAAGACTCACCAGCAAAAAGATCACTACTCATTTTATTATGGTGGGGCAGAACTGAACCCACAGTATCTCTGAGGTACGGCTGTACTCCATCCAACCACATCATCACTTGGTGGTTAAAACGCGAAGAGGCAGCAGCTGAAGAGTGGAGACCTGGGAGGCCAGGGTGTACTAATCAGCACCTCTAGGTGGTAGTTGGGCAGTTTGCTTGCAAAGCCAGCCACTTGGGTTAGTTTAGGGTTGGAGATGTTTGTGTGCTGGGCCAATGGATCAGTCTCTCCCTAGTTTCTCTTCTTTTTAAATTATGTCGTTTACTTGTGGCTAACTATAGAATAAGTCCAGTTAAATCCTTTCTGTAACAAGGCAGGGTGTAAATAAATTAAGTGTAGAATGTCACTGTGTAATAAGATTTTGTTTTAAAGCCAAGAGGAGATATAAGGAGCTAATAGGTTAAGGGATTCACAGTTCCCAAATGGCAGGAGATCAGGTTTCAGTTAGCCTGCTTGTCTCCTTGCATTTAAAAGTAACTGTGTGGTCATTATCTAGTATTTGTATTCTTAGGAAGCCCCTGCCTGTTATTTAATAATCTGTTTATAGAATCCGAGTTGAGGTCCAAAGTCAACCTGCTGGTCATTATATTTTACTAGAGAGAAGCAGACTGACTTCTCCAAGGTCACATAGCTGGTTGGTAGAATAATTGACATTTTAGGGCTTGTTCTGAGTCCAGGGTTCTTTTTTTTTTTCTTTTTTTAATTGATTTCATAGAGCAGTGGTTCTCAACCTGTGGGTCGCGACCCCTTTGGGGGTCGAACGACCCTTTCACAGGGGTCGCCTAAGACCATCAGAAAACACATATATAATTACATATTGTTTTTGTGATTAATCACTATGCTTTAATTATGTTCAATTTGTAACAATGAAATTGGGGGTCACTACAACATGAGGAACTGTATTAAAGGGTTTCGGCATTAGGAAGGTTGAGAACCATTGCCATAAAGGAAGGGAGAGGGAAAGAGAAACATCAGTGATGAGAGAGAATCATCGATTTGCTGCCTCCTGCACACCCCCTACTGGGGATCGAGCCCTCAACCCAGGCATGTGCCTTTGACCAGAACTGAACCTAGGACCCTTCACTCCACAGGCTGATGCTCCATCCACTGAGCTAAACCAGCCAAAGCCTGAGTCCAGGGTTCTTTATCTTTACTAAAACCTGGGAGAGAATGCATCCTCTATTTTAGAAGTGAAACATAAATAGAACTGATCATAGAACTTTTTCTACCATCAGGACTCTCAAAAGAGAGCAAAGCAGGTACTATTATTAATTACACCAAGACAATAAAACTTTTGCCCAGAGAAACTCAAGTTGGGAAGTAACTCTGGCCTGAAAATCCAGGCTGTGGTTCTTACCCTTAGGGCTCTAACCTATCAAACTTGATTTCTGCCTCTTCCCACAGAGCAAAAGGAATTTGATTTCTGCCTGCCTCCCCCCAAAATAGAGTGGACCTGCCTTAGAAGCCTCAGATACTGAGGAAATCTCAGTCTTGTTATGTTGACACTAGCAACTACAGATCTGACAAGACACCTTTTGCTCTCTTTCGTCCTCAGCGTGTGGAAATAGATGCTTCCAAAACACGGGTCCACGTTAAACACATTAGGTTTGTCCTTCTGCCCCCTTCAATTGAGAAATTCAACAGGCACTGCTGGAATAAGTCATGGGGCCAGATGATCTGACCCACAGCTATGGTCAGGCCAAAGTTCATCTTTATTATGAATAAAAATAAAATGACAAACAGAAAAAGACCTACTGGATACATTTTTTTTAAGGCAGGAAACAGGTTCCTCAGCTATTTCAACTACACGTCTTTTATCATGCCTTTGGTTTTGGTTTCGTTTTCATAGATAGTGGAGGAGCATCTTGTGCAGTGGTTAGATCATAAAGTTAGAGTGTAAAGACAAAATGAAATGTAGTCAAATTATCTTTGAAATTGCACCTTCGGCGTGGCTCAGATGTTGAGCATCGACCCATGAATTAAAAGGTCACCAGTTCAAGTCCCCATCAGGGCACATGCCAGGTTTCGTGCTCCATCCCCAGTGGGTGGCACACAGGAGGCAGCCGCTTGATGATGTCTTTCTCTCACTGATGTTCTAGCTCTCTATCCTTCTCCCTTCCTCTCTCTAAAAAAAATTCAATAAAAACATATTTAAAAGTAAAAAATTGCCCTGAAGGTTAAGTACGCATGTTACATGTATATAATGGTGTCCTGTGTTTTATAGGAGTGAGTTTGTGCTGTATTGGTGACTGATATTCCATATCTAATTCTAAAGAACGGTTATATTAAAAAATGATGCCACTTAAGTATGGCACTTAAAACACTTCAACTTTAAGATGATTCCAATGTATAGGTTCTCTTCTTGTCCTGTAGATGATTTTATCGGCTCCTCCAACTTTTGAGTTAATATTTTTCTCATCACCCATTAATTATTTGGTTAATTTCTGCGGTATTGAGGGATCTATTGTGGCCTGCTTGCCTGGCCACCCATTCAGTGTGTTTTCTCTTCCAGTCAGCACCCACACAGTCTTTGTTCAGATTTGCCTAACAGTATTGAACATCAAGTGCCTTTGGTGTGCCCTGAGCCTGCTCTCTCTCCGTCTTCTTTTTATCTCTCCTCCCCAGCACATTAGTTAAATGCACACACATGTGATTCCAACTGGTGATGGGGGAGAGACCAGAAGGAAAGATAGGAAAGATACCAAAATCTAGACCTGTGTGAGAAAGGTGAGAACAGCTAGCTGATTTTCTCTTGGTTCCAAACATGTCTAGTTATGTCACCACTTGTAACAAAAATAGATCAATAAACTTAATCCTCCCTGCAAATAATAATAGATACTAGAGTTTGAACCCCAGTGAGTCTGGAGTGGGCGGGTGTCATTGTATCTCAAATCTGAGAGAGTCCCTGAGTAGGCCCGGGTGAAACTGCAAAGGGACAGGAAGCCAGTGTATCGAGGAAGAGCTTGGGGCTCAGATGACCAGCCTCCGTAGTTGTGGCCCGGCATCAGTGTGCTTCCGAAGTTGGATGCACTTGCAGGACACTGGACCAGGGAACAGGGCAGCTTCCAAGAGCATTTGCTTCCTGTGAAAATCACAGCTTGTGAAACTTCCCCCAGTTGCTGGAGTGGTAGGTTGTGTAATTTCAGAGAACCTAAAATAAGTTCCAGGTCTCCTGCCAAGCTTCCCTGTACTAACGTGACCTTGCCCCTGGTACACTTGGATCTCTTGCAAGAGGCAGTGGTCACTGGGAATTTCCTGTGATTGATGGGCAAGGTCTCCTTAAGCACTTTTCCTTTAATCTTGCCGGAACAGACTGAGGGATGGGGTCCCCTCTACTGGATCGGATACAAGAGAGTTGGAGTTAAGAGGATCACCTATGATGCCGTATTTGTTGATTGAGTCATGGGTCACCCAGTGGCCAATAAACAGGCATGACTTGGTGCTGGATCTAAAAGACCTGGGGGCCTGGCTGACTCCCACAGCAGCCTTGTCTTCTCCCTCCTGCCGGCTGGCTGTCCTGCTGTATTGGAATCTGCCGCCCTGCCCCAGTTGTCGAGGGATCTACTTAGTTTTGTGGCACCGGTCCCTGTGTGTGAAAGAGGATGCTGCTTCCTATCCCAGTACCCAGTGGGCAGGGCCCTGAAATGGCCCAACTCCCTGCTGTTCCCTCCTCAGCACGCCTCTGTCACGTGGGTCTTAATTCAGCCTCTGCCATACGGTTTGCCCTCAGGCTCTGAGAGGCCTGAGTTTCCCTGGAGGTGCAGAGTCAAGGTCGCCTGGCAAAGCTCAGCCCATAGGAGAAATTTCCCACTCCCACTGGAAGTCAGTTTCCTGCCTGCCCAAGTGTTCAGGACTGCAGTGCCTGGCACATAGTGCCCAGGGATGTCAGGTGTTGTTGAGAATATGAATCTTGCACCATATTTTAAGGGTCTCTCCAAAACTGACATGAGAAGACCCTTTCTCTGCCTTCTTGCTGTCACGTTATTTCAATTCCCTAACACCCTATGTCCTTGCAGACCTAGAGTGGAAGATAATTTATGTTGGCTCAGCTGAGAGTGAGGAGTTTGATCAAATCCTAGACTCAGTGCTGGTCGGCCCTATCCCAGCAGGGAGACACATGTTCGTCTTTCAGGTAAGAAAGGAGGCCTTAGGCTTTGACACCTAGAAACATCCGCTTCTACCCAAAAGCACACAGTGTGGTTTAGTGGCCTAAAGATCAGGTTCAAATTCTCGCTCTGTTCTCAAGAGCTGTCTGACTTCTCAACGGTACTTCAAACACCTCTCTTTCCTCCATCTCTGTGTCATGACTGTTACCATGAACCACGGATTCGCAGTTGATCCTCATTATTCACAGGAGTTACATTCTGTAAACCTGCTGTGAACAGTGTATTAGTGAATACTGAACCATGGCCCCATAGGACATACAGGGCTAGGTTCCTATATCTCACATTTTTGTCAACCAGTCAACACATAACCTTGTTTTAGGTGTGTTTAAATACCTCATTTGGTATTATTGTTGATTCATTGACATTGAATTCAGAGCTGACCGTTCTAAGCTCAGGATGTGTTTTCCCTAGGCCGATGCTCCCAACCCATCCCTCATCCCTGAGAGCGACGCCATTGGTGTGACCGTGGTCCTCATCACCTGCACCTATCATGGGCAGGAGTTCATCCGTGTGGGCTACTACGTCAACAATGAGTACCCCGACCCAGAGTTGCGGGAGAACCCACCCCCAAAGCCAGACTTCTCTCAGGTGGGGTCGCTCTCCACTCCCTGCTCTAGATCATCTGGCTCCTTTGTATTTGGGGGGAGTTGAGTCATTGGATTGATTCAGGAGCCAAGGTCACTTAAAGTTTTCAAGTAGTGCTCAGAGAGAGAGGTCTTTGTTTCTCAGAAGCATTCCTTGCAGAATTAAGATTAGATAGGTCCTGGCCCTAAATCGTGGTGCACAGGCATTCCCTGGAGTGCCACACATATTGTTGGTGATGGAATAAGCAAGGTCTGCTCTTCATGGGTCTGGGATGGGAGACTAGGGGTGCCCTGGCTTTGTGGGAGTAATGAGAGGGCATGCTGACAGTTGACATTTCTCTTCCTGCCCCAGCTCCAACGGAACATCTTGGCCTCGAATCCCCGAGTGACCCGTTTCCACATCAACTGGGACAACAACACGGACAGGCTGGAGGCCATAGAGAACCAGGACCCTGCCCTAAGCTGCAGCCTCCCCATCAGCTGTACCCCTGTCAAGGGCTTGGGGCTCCCTGGCTGCATCCCTGGCCTCCTCCCCGAGAACTCCATGGACTGCATCTAACTGAGGTCTTAACTGGGGGACTCCAGGCCCTACCTGGGGCTTGCTAGGACTATGGCCAGTCTCCCAACACATCTGGAGTGGGCAGTTAGGCCTCCCAGAGAGTCCTCTGGGGGCCACCTGGAAGACTTTGGGGCCATCAACTATATTCAGCCCTATCACATTGATCTCTGAGGAAAGAATGGGCCTCAGGTCTCTCCCAACCTCAGCCCAGAAAGATTCTCTCACCTTTACTGCCCTGGCCTATAAAAAGCAGGTGCTTTAGTTCTTAATTCTCTCTAACTTGTGTCCTTTCTCTCTTTCACACATAAGCCATTGTGTCACCAGACTCCCATGTAAGTACCATTGACCCAGACCTCTTCCCACAGACCTCCCTGGCCTTCCTTGAGGCTTTCTTGGTCAATGGTTCCAGCCCTGTTGGACCAAAGGCTCTGTCATTTCCCTTCCCAAACATTTGAGTAGATCCACCCAGCTTTCTGGAGTCAAGGAATCTGAGTTAGAAGGTAGACTTGGACACAATTTCTGTCCTTTTCCCAGAAAAATTTTTAGGTCTTTTCAATCCAGCAGCCCCTGGAAAACTCTGTTCGCAAAAGTGTGATCAGCTGGATGCTGAGGAATAATGGTTGATTCTCCTCTCAGTCGCAACCACCTTCTTGTTACCTCCTAACTGGACCTGGATTTCCCTGGAGGCTGCCACTGTTGGAGCAGCCGCTGACCAGGCTTTGTTTTGGCATCAGGACCTCTGGCTGCCTTTGCCCTCTGCTAAGACCTTATGCTCTCACAGGCTACGGAGTGATTGCAGGCATGGGAAACAGTAGGGACCCTGAAAACCACCTTCCTTAGCCATGTTCCCCATCTCTTCGCTGCTACGTGGATGCTGTTGATTACAGTTTGTATATTAAAAGGTTTTTGTATTAAATATTTTTGGTTGATCTAAAAATGCATTTCCTCTAGACTGATTGTTTCTGCTTTTGTCTTAGTTGAACTGAGGCAGCTTTGTCCATCTTTCCTTGGAACATGGGGTGGGGGTCCTCTTGCCCTGGCCAGTGGGTTGACTGCCTCTTATCTCCTTGCTCTAATCCTAATTGGTTGTATATTTGTAATCCAGACTGAGATTTGGAAAGGGGTTTTTATTTGTTGAAGCTTAAGCAATGCAACTGTTGTAGAGCATAACCAGTGGTGTGTTTTTTCAGACGTTGACCTTGACCCACAAGAAGAAGTTAACATTGTACTCCAAGGACACAGCAACACTTTTATTAACTTTTACTTAACCTTTCTTTGTAAACCCACAGCCAGAGCTGGAGTGGTTTGGCTGGTGAGCCATTTCCCCATAATTCACATAAAAGCCCAACTCTTACCCTCCTGAGACTGTAGTTGAGCTAGGAACATGGGTGTAGACAGCAGCCGGGTAGAGTGCAGGTTGTACAAACTTACAGGCAGAGCAGTGAGTTGACTGGCTGGTAGACTTAGGACCTCCTAAACCCCTCCAAGTTAGGGAGGGCTGGCTCATCCAGTCCCCTGCCCCTCTGACCGACTCCTTTTTGGGCTTTGCCTTGCTTTAGTGGCTCTCAACTGGGGGCAGTTTTGCCCCCCAGGGCACATTTAGCAATGTTGAGATGGTTTTGATTGTCACATCTGGTGGAGGATAAAGAGGTTCTACAGGCATCCAGTGGGTAGAGAAAGTGGGAATGCAGCTAAACCGGGTTGCGGGTGGGGGTTTGCTATACTGTACAAGAATCCTCCCAGCAAAGAACGATCAGGCCCCAAATGTCAGTGGTGTGGCAGTGGAAAACACTGACGGTAAACGTATGAAAAGGGCATCTTGCTAATTCCTGGAAGGCAGGTTCCCTCTGCGTTGCCCAGACAAAATCCTCAGGCTGTCGCTGCCCCGGATACCTCATCTGTAAAATGGGAGTGATAATACTACCTGCGTGACAGGGCTTGTTGAGAAGTAATGTATTTAACGAGTGGCACGAGCCCAGTGTGGGCGCCCGGCAACGGGACGGACACTGAGGGCTCCCTCCCAATCGCCCCTTGCTCCCCAGGACCACCCTCCTCCAGGAGCCCCAGCCCCACCCCCGGGCCTGCGGCAGCTAGCCTTCGCCGGGCCTTATGAATGACGAAGGCCGGAGGCCCGGCGACCTCTGACCCGCGGCGCCACTCCCCTCCCCCGCTGGCAGGTGGACAGCGACTGCGCCGGGGGAGGGGAGACTGTGGAGCCAACCTTGGCTGGCCCGCGGCCGCGGCCGCTGCCGCACTGAGCGGAGGCGGGGGACTGCGGCGTGCACGGGGCCGGGCAGGCGCCCGCCTGGACCGCCTCCTGATTTTCCAAGCGCGGAGCAGCCATCCGCCAGCCTCGGCCGCCCCGCCCCGGTCCGCCCCGCCTCGCCTCGCCGCCCCGACTGCAAGCTGCGCCTCCGCCCCGCCCTCTCACCCCGGGATTGACACTGAACGTTCTGTGGGGGGACTGGCCGAACGGCACGCCCGGCCAATTGGCGGCCTCACTGGGCGAACCTGGGGCCTTGTCGCCAACTGCAGCCAATAGGCGCCTCGCGAGCGCGCCAGTGGCCGGGCATCCGCGGCGCGCGTCACGGGGCTGGAACCTATAGCGGCGCTGGTGGGTCGCAGAGGGCCAATAGGCGGCAGCGTGGCGCCGTCAATCAGGGCAGCCTGGACCAATGAGTTTAGGCTGCGGGAGCGTCACAGACAGACAGCAGCAGCGGACTTGGGCTGAGGTTCCCGGGCGGGCGGGCGCGGGGAGACGCGGGAAGCAGGGGCTTGGCGGGGGTCGCGGCGCCGCAGCCAGAGCAGCAACCCGAGGGGCCGCTGCCCAGCGCGCTCCGGGGCCGCCGGCCGCCGCCAGCACCCGCCGCGCCGCAGCTCCGGGACCGGCCCCGGCCGCCGCCGCCGCCGCGATGGGCAACGCCGCCGCCGCCAAGAAGGGCAGCGAGCAGGAGAGTGGTGAGTGCTCAGGCCATGACCTCAATACCGGACCCACGCTGTCAGCCCCCGCCCTGTGCATCACCGCCTGGCCCCTCCCTCTCCACCCCCCCCCATTTCTTTTTGCTTACCCCCAGCGCCCCCTCCCCCTGCCTGTCCAAGGTTAGGGCCCAGGGCCCGCAGAACTCTCGTAGGGGCCCCCTTGCCAAAGGCCACCCCCCACTGCAGAAACTGTGCCCCCCCACCCAGCTGTCACTGCCAGCCATGGCACGTATGACCGCTGGGGCCCCACATGGGGCCCTGTCACTACCCTATTCCCTACTTTCCTGGACCCTCTCCCATATACTAATACCCTCACTTCCTCACTCACCTCTCCCATTGACGGGCCTCACGGCCAGACCCTGACCCAGGCTTCTGCCGGTCTTGGGAGTGCTGCGGGGTCTGCCTCCATCCCATAGGGACCTTGGCCACTTGGTGACCACACCCCTCCCTCCTCCAGCCCCCGCCATCTTTCTCTTGCCCTTTCCTTCTTCACCTTACCAGAGCCCCCCTCCAGACACCCTGTGCCCACTTGAGCTTTTCCCAGAGCCACCTCCAGCATTGCTTTTCCCTTCTGTGTTACTTGGCATGGGGGACAGGATCATTCTGGGTCCCTCTGCCCCTCTCCCATCCTGTCACTCTGCTGCTCTGCTTGTGCCCTCTCCTCCCAAGTGTCTGTCCCTAGCTGGGGTAGCAGACTGTTTATGAACCTAGAGAACTGCTTCAGTGTGTTCAAAGCCAAGTTTGAGCTGGTCTTGCTGGGTTTGTTTCTTCCTCCTTCCCTGGTTGGGGTTAGGGGATGGCAGCAGAGCCTTTATCCATCTCCTGCTGTGCAGCGAGCTCTAGGCTCCTTAGAGGTCCCCTCAGTAATAAATGGTCGTTTCACAACTGAGGCTCCGTCATTCACCCAGTCCCCTGGGCTTCTTCACCCGCTCCTGGCTCAGGATGAAAAGTGGGGGATGAAGAGTGTCTGAGTTTAACAGGCTCATTCAGCTTGAGCTGGAATGGTGAGAAAGGGGACTCAGGGGATGGCGGTCAGAGAGAGTAATGGGTGACATCTAATGACTTGCTTTGCCAAGGGACACAGATTCTGATCATTGCCAGGGCTCAGCCAGAAAGAGGCTTGTTCCCCCCTCACCTTACAAAATGTGTTGGCCTTTTATAGCCAACCAGAGAAAGAAATTCTGTATCTGCTTTCAGAAATGGCTCTCAATCCCCTTCCTCAATTCCTCCAGTTCTTAGATTGTCATCACTCCAGGCCTAAAGCTGGACCTCAGCTAGGATCCACTTCCCATTACCCAGAAATAGTCAGAGCTGAAAAGGGAGGCCACGTCCAAATATGCCTTTCCTAGTTATTGGTCTCAAATCCCAGTGTCTGGTTCCCCTGACTTCCCCTCCCAGAAAGACCCTGATATGAAAACCAAGGAACTTTATTTTCACATGGCAGAACTCAGAGTTGCTGAGCAGCCATGGGGAGGGCTGACATGTCACCGATGGGCGGGGGATATGGAGGCAAGTGCCTGTAGCTGAGTACTTGATGACAGAGGAGCAGGTGGGTAGTGACCAAAAAAAGTCTGGGCATGAGCTTGGAGGGGGGACTAGGCACACAGGGAGGGGCTGGGCCCCCAGCAGGTGAGGCCTGGGAGGTAGAAGGTGGAGGCAGGCAGCTATATATTGCAGTGGCTCAGTTGAAAGTTGGGGAGATGACCCAGTCCTGGAAAACTTTCAAGGGATATCAAACACATGCAGTGTGTGTGAGGGGGGAGGAGGGAGCTGTACAGGGAAGATCAGTGGCTCCGGAAGGAACCACTAATTCTCTTAGAGCGCAGGGCGGACATCCAGGAATGGACCATCACGGTGGAATAGGGCCACTATTTATTGGGTATCTAGGATATGCCCAGCTAAATGGTTTCCATAGATCTGTCCACTCGAGTGATTTTCATAACGGGCTATTTTCCGAATTTTCTAAATGACCCTGAGTTTGACATAGATGATGTCACAGAAGCAGGATTAACATTCCGATCTGTCTACCAGCCAACTTCCAGGACCCCAGAATTTCCTAACCGGGACATTCGCAAGTTACCTCCCTGATTTTTACTCTATTCATTTATATTTTCTTAATTTAAAATAGTAAAAATTTTGACTTACTTTTAAGTTCAGACATAAACTTTGATCCATCCTAAGCAGTAATATAAATGATCATGGGATTACTGTGCCAGTTATATTCTTTCCTGCTACACATTGAAATGCAATGTGACTAGAATAGTGAAACATCCCTAAAATCATTTCATTTCCTGCCAGTGGGACCCATGTCATACATTGGGAAATGTTCTCAGCTGTACTTCCTTCCAGAGACTTGCAAGGATTCTCAGAGAAAGAAATAGGATAAGGAAGGAAGCCCCACTTTGCTTGGAACTCTGATTCTGAAAGGATGGAGCTAGTCAAAATTTGCCCTTATAACTAGGATGGGGTAGGGTGGGAGTTAGGGGCAGTAGCCAGGCCAGCCTGCAGGGGGCACCTGAATTTCATCTGCCAGACACCAGCCATACTGGGGTAAGGAGAATGCCCAAGCCTTAGTAGGCACTATTTAGGCATCCTGCAGCCCCCTGTGCTACCCCTGGTGCCAGGGCATGATAATGTCAGCCTGCTCCCAAGAGAGTGGGGGATCTACCTGGAGTTGGGTCAGGTGGGGTAGGGGCAATCTGTACCCAAAGATGCCAAAGCCATTGTTAGGGGCCTGGACAAGATGGTAAAAGGGCAGAGAAAAAACCTAGCACCCGGCTCTGAGCAAGCTGGAGAAATTGAGAGAGAGCAGTGGCCCCAAGAGGCTCCCAGGATAGGCAGCCAAGTGGGGCTCAGGCCTTGGCTGGCACTGGCCAAAAGCACCCCTGGGAGCTGGCCCATGGGGGAAGGGATAGGGCTGGTGAGAGGGAGCCCATACACACACATTCTAGACCCTGG